AAAAGTGTGGATTATTGTAACCTGGATTAAAAGTGTGGATTATTGTAGTGAAGCCTTCATCTTCAACCATCGACAGAGGCCTCATGTCAGTGACGATCATTTAAGGATGATTTCAGTGAAGACAGCTGCTGCTGTGGTGTCCATGATGTCTGTCCATCATGAAGTGTTGTTGTTGTTTGTTGTTGTTTTCTGGAATGCGAGAGTAAATATGTATTATAGCATAATTTACAGCAACTCAAGAAATGCCTTGTTTCACTTACAGTGTTAGGTTCAGGCAAAAGTAGCTAAAAGAGCAATTAAACACACACATTCACACACACACACACACACATATATATAAAATACTTAATTACACACATTTGAGTAGATGTAATAAATTACTTTAATTCCTGTTTAAATGCAATTCATCCTGCCATACCTGCAGTGTCTTCAGACTTTGCCAGCAAATTAAAAGTTGAAGCTTAATCATTAAATTATTATCTTGTGTTAGATTTATTTATAAATCACATTTAAACACTGCTTGTACCAATTAAATTAAATAAAAAGTAACACACATGTTCTCTATCACTGTCATTAATCAGATAAACAAACAAACAAACAAACAAGCAGCTTCATCTACCAGACAGACTGACGTTACGTTTTCTCTCTTGAAACAGAACAAAGTGTTAAATTGTAGAGACTCACCTGCAACACATGAAGAGTTGTATCAGCTGCAGCTCCTTCCTCCTCCTCGTGACTCCGACATGTTTACGTTTTATCTCCGTGGTTCTCTCGTGTCGTGTCGGTGATTTTCAAAGCGTCATGCTTCTCATTTTTTATCTTTGTGACGTTCTCCCACACTTTGGAGGACTTGGGTTGAACAGTTTTCGCTGCGTCGGTCATTTGTAAAATTTACTTATTTTGCTTTGAAAACAGCCTCTGCTTTTCTTCCTCCGACCCCCTCGCTCTGTTCAACTCGCGCTGCAGTTTTTTTTTTTTTTTTAACTTTATTCAGTCAGTCAGCATTGACAATGAACTGCCCGTGAACAAAACGAAACGGCTCCGCAGCGCCGTGAAAGATGCATAATCGCATGACAACGAATCGATAATGAAATTCGTTGCCAACGCTTTTAATCATCGATTTTTATCGATTCGTTGTTGCAGCCCTAGTTCATGAACACTTCAAATTTTTGTGTCGATGAGAAGGAAAGAAAGAATGAGAAAAGGAAAGAAGAAGTGAACATTTTCACCTACAGCCAGTCGACTGTTTGTTTGTTTTATTTCAGGGTGGTAAACCAGACCTGAACACGGCTCTGCCCATCAGACAGACAGCCTCCATCTTTAAACAGCCTGTTACCAAAGTGACGAGTCACCCTGGCAACAAGGTGAAGACAGACCTGCAGAGAGCCGTGGAGCAGCCCCGACAGGTGAGGGCGGTGTCAGAGAGATGGAATATAATGTGTGTGTGTGTGTGTGTGTGTGTGTGTGTGTGTGTGTGTGTGTGTGTGTGTATGTA